GAGAAAACATTCCCTCCTATAGGAAGATAAAGATGCATTTAAGGAGAAAAAAAAAAAAAAAAAAAGCCAAAACAGCCCCAAAGCTGCCTGATGAAGTATTGACCTGGAGACAAAGTGGATCAGATGGAGCCAACCTGGCCCCTTAGGAAAACTTGAGGCTGTTCATTAGGGATGAGCTCACTGCCAGCTTAACCCCATCCTCACCACTCCCAGAGAAGCCTGTGGGAAATGTGCCAATTTCCAGGTTTTCCATGAAAATAGGGACCACGGGGTCCTTTCATGAGGTGGGAAGGGTTTGGGAGTTGTTGCAGCCTCGTGGTGCTCCTGTTGGAGTTGGGGTAATGGGAGAGCTCTGGATGTGGGGTGGAGGAGGGCTGAGCATCCCCATCCCTGCACAGGATCCCAGCAGTAAAGCAGGAATTCCATCCTTCCCTCAGCCAGGCTTTGGGGTCAGGGAAGCGAGAAGTTTGCTTGGAAAAAAGCAGCCAGAGCGGCCAATTCCCATGATTTTTGGGAAACAGGCTTTCTTTCCCAGAAATCTTACCCATAGGATGCTTTTTAACATTCCCAATAATGTGGATTTCTCTCTGTGTTCAGCACAGAGCTCCCTTTTTACCACAAGCATGAGTTTGCTCAGTGTCTGCTGCCTGGTTTTTATTGGAATGTATTTTCTGTACAAAAACACTGGAAAAATAGGAATAAAGGGGGAAAATCCCTCCCCTGGATGGATTCAAACAGCAAATGGGGAAGGAATAACCAGTGATCCAGGTTTCTCGTGGCTCCTGGTGCCATCCTGGCAATTCCAGGTGTCAACATTCCCGGCTCTGAAACATTTCTGGTCTTCTGCAAACCCGTTCTAATTTCCAGCCTAATTTTAAAGCACTTTGTCCCACTTGTTCTCCTGCCAAAGCATTCCTGGAACCAAAACACCTCTCAAGCCTCACCTGGTTTGAATTTTGCTTCCTTCCTTCCTGAATCCCTGAGGATTTTGCTGGGAGTTCACCCCTTTTTGGCTAAACCATCCCCCAGCAGTGGCTTTGCAGCACAACCCTTGGATCCACTCCTTGCTCACTCCAAGCCAGCCCAGAGTCGCTGCTGGAATTCCTAAAAAGCCAAGTTCTTCCTTGCAAATCAGTTGATTCCAGCTTCTTATAGATTAGCTGGAGCTGATAAACTTGGCATTAGGAAGCAGGCCCAGGTATTATCCCTTCCCCTCTCAGCTCTGGCCAAATCACAGGAGATCTGCAAAGATTTTTGGGAATCTGGTTGGTTGGGATTTTTCCCTGCCTCCTGCCAGCTCCCCTTGCCAGCTTGACCACTTGCCCGCTCATCCTCCGAGAAGAGTGAGTCAGCTTGGCAAAAAAATAATAAATAAAATATTCCAGGCCAGCCCCAGCAGGGACTCTCTGCCTTCAGACCCAAAATGGGGGCTCAAAAGCCACAAACCATCCTGGTCTTCCCCTCCTCTGGCTCTTCCCAATCCCAATCTTGGCCTGAACACCCTCCCCCAGCTCAGCTTGGATGGTGAAGCGCACTAAAATCCTGGAACCATGGAATGGTTTGGTTGGAAGGAGTTTAAAGCCCATCCCATTCCCCCCTGCCATGATCAGGGACACCTTCCTCTATCCCAGGCTCCTGGATTCATCCCAGCTGGAGGAGGAGGCTGGGGATGCTCAGAGGTGGGAGGAATTAAACAGCTCCTCTTGCATCACTCTTCCCTCCATCCCCTCATGAGCCCACAGGAACAGGATGATCTTTAAGGTCCCTTCCAACCCAAACCATGCCATAATTCTGTTTTATGGGGAAAGCCCCAGCCTTATTTTCACCGTGCTCTCCAGTTTGGCGTCTCCATCCCGGAAAAAATTTATGGCAGCACTTAGGGAAGGAGGAGCAGAGGGATGAGATCAGGCCCTGTCCATGTGTCAGGGAGGAAAAAACCCCACTTTTCCAGGGAAATAAACTCCAGGCAATTAAGCGGGAATTAAGATTTAGCACACGCCACGAGCAGCAGGCGTGGAGAAAGGAGACAGCTGGTAAATTTAGGATGTGACAAAGTCATGCGAGCACTAACTGGATTACTGGCATTTATTTGGGAATACTTATGGATTTTATTATGCAACGTATGGATCTCCATAATTCTGCTTTTCACTCCTGCCAGCGTCTCAGGGAGCTTTACAAACAATTAATCAGCAGCACTCTGGGGAATCCAGTGTGTTCCCTTTGCTCCAGGGAATCCAGTGTGTCCTATCTGCTCCAGGGAATCCAGTGTGTCCCATGTCCTCCAGGGAATCCAGTGTGTTCCCTTTGCTCCAGGGAATCCAGTGTGTCCTATCTGCTCCAGGGAATCCAGTGTGTCCTATCTGCTCCAAGGAATCCATTGTGTCCCCTCTGCTCCAGGGAATCCAGTGTGTCCCATGTCCTCCAGGGAATCCAGTGTGTCCCCTCTGCTCCGGGGAATCCAGTGCATTCCGTCTCTCCCCGAGTGTATTTGGATCATCCCTTCATTGATGTGATTGATTTTTAACCTTTTCTGAGCAATTTTTTTAATTCCCTGCACTTTCTGGGCTCATCCTGGGAGTCCATGGGGATGAGCAGATCCAAAAGTCTTTGGAGTGAATTTTCCAGGGATGGAAATACATCCACCCCCCCAGGGATGGCGATTTTAATCCGTTTAGGTTGGATTTCAGGAGGAATTTCATCCTGGAAGGAGTGACCAGGCACTGGAAGTGCCCAGGGAGGGTTGCAGTGCCCATGCCTGGGGGTGTCCCAGGAATTCCTGGAGGTGGCACTCAGTGCTCTGGGCTGGGGACAAGGTGGGGATGGATCAGTCACAGGCTGGATTTGGTGATCCTGGAGCTCATTCTCCATGGAATCAATGATGTGATTCCATCAAGGAGGTGCTAGGTGCCACAGGGAGGAGCAGAGCCTGGGCCATCCCAGAAGCCCAGCCCGGGGTGGTGGCTCCTGTGGGCTCCTCCTGCTCTGCCATCACCCCTGTGTGACCCCTGGAAGGGCAGAGCTGCTGCTCCAGCCCCTTTTCCTGGCAGGCACAGAGGGCTGAGCGGCTCCAGGCGCCTCTCCAGGGAGGAGCAGAGTGTAATCCTGGCTGCTGAGCACGGGCCAGGCTCTCACAGACACTGTTAATCCTCAGCTGGGCCAGCAGGGACCTGGGAAAGTTCTGCAGAGAGGCAGGGACAGCCCCAGCCCGGGCAGCTTCAGGCCAGGGGATAAATGGATGGAGGAGCTTCAAATCCACATCCCTGAGAAGCTCCCCTGGAAGATGCCAGAGGTTTAAGGAGCTCAGAGAGGCAGAATCTGAATTTTAACCTCCTGGTGGCTCTGATGGTTTAATGCACAGGTTTGATGTCCCAGTGTTTCTCACAGAGCACATTGGTGACAAAAATGTGGCTGGAAAGAGACCCTGTGACAGGGCATGGAGGGACAGGACAAGGGGGAATGGCTTGAAGCTGAAAAAGGGTGGATTTAGATGGGATATTGGGAAGAAATTCCCAATATCTGTGAGGGTGGGGAGGTCCTGGCACAGGTGCCCAGAGAAGCTGTAGCTGCCTCTGGATCCCTGGCAGTGCCCAAGGCCAGGCTGGAATAACCTGGACTAGTGGAAGCTGTCCCTGCAGGGATTGGAATAAGATGGATTTAAAAGTATTTTCCAACCCAAACCATTCCATGATTCCATGAAAAACAGGAGCAGCCTGGACCTCCCCTCCCAGCAGTTTGCTGCAGCTCCTCCTTGGGGCATCCATGCTCCTCCTAAAAGAGCAGGGCTGGGATACCTGCCAGGGAATAGGCTGTGACAGCTTTGTCCCCTCCTCTGACCCCACCTGAGTGCTGGGCAGGGAGAGCACTGAGTAAAACCCATTTCAACCCAATTTTTGGGTGCATTAATCACAGAGTACCCTCAGACCTGCAGCAGCACCACCACAGCCACTCCACCATCTCCAATAACTCTGGAAAACAGCTCGGATTCACTTCCAGGGCTACTCCAAAGCAGCCAATGGCTGGGAATAAAGCATCTATTAGAGCAAAGAGAGCTGAGAAGTGTCAGGAGCAAACACAGGTGACAGCACAGCCACACTCACACCCTGTTCCCCAGCCCTTCCTACCAAAGCAGGCACATTCCTGGCCCTGTTTTCCATTTTTAGGAGCCTGTCAGAAATGGCACTCCCTCTCCACGCAGATGTCGAGAAATTAGAGGGAATTCAGAGAGAGGCAGAAAAAAAAATGATTAAAGGAGATGGAGGGCCTGATTTTGGAGGGAAAAGAAATCAGTGGAGTTATTTATAACCCTGACTGCACCGGGGTGGGAGCAGGAATTTTTGAAAGTGCCTGGATAGCTCGGATAAGGGGAAAAGGGGGAAAAGCAACCTCCGGAGGATGCTCTCAGAGAAGCTGTAAATCCTGAGTGATGGGATGAAATGCCAGCCAAAAAAAGCCTCTGGGGAATCATCAGCGAGTGCAGGGGACAGTTGTTGATCCAGAGGGAAAAAGTGCCCTGATCCAAATGTGTGAAGGGATGGTGGAGGCGGCTCCAGAGCCGCACCCCCCGCTCCTACCTCTGCTCCCAGTATTTATTTACATCCAGCATTTTACGCAAAACGTGGGGGTGGGCGTGGAAATGTTCTTTTTTTTTTTTTTATTTCATCCCCAAAAAAACGGGTTTGGTTAAAAAAACAACCAAACCAGCTTTAAATTCAACCCTGGAGGCTCGTGGGAGATGCACGGAGAGGCTGCTGGGACAGGGTGGGAAATGGGATGGAGGGACCCTGGGGGAACAAATCTGAATTTCCTGGGTGATTTCCAGGCTGAGGAGCAGCTCGTGAAGGTGTTGGAAAATCCCCCATTCCCCAGCCAGCCCCAAGCTCTGCTGGCAGCTCCTCCCTCACAGCCAAAGGGTTTTGGAGGAGCCTGTGGGGGAAATGTGGGGTTTCCCGGGGCAGGGAGGAGCTGCCTAACGGGGTGCTGGTGTCTCTGTTGCCTTGCAGGACCTCTCACTCCAGGGCCAAGGCGGAGGCGGCCGTGACGGCGGCGCAGAAAGCGCAGGAGGAAGCGCGGATCGCCAGGATCACTGCCAAAGAGTTCTCACCTTCCTTCCAGCACAGGGAGAACGGTCAGTCCCTGCCAGGCCCTGCCCTCGCAGCCCTGAACACCCCCAAAGCCCCCAAACTGCCCTGGCTGGAGGCTCAGCCTGTGCCCGCAGCTCCCCATCCCCACCGGAGCTCCTGGAGGGGAAAAGCTCCATGGAACACCAGGTCTGGGGAGATTTAGGGCAGAGCTGTCAATATCCAGCAGTTCCACCTTGTTCTGTACTGTTTTCCCAGTGCTTCCTCTCTCTCCCCAAGTCTTTAGTCCAAAGCCCTTGGTAGCTGCAATGAAAGAGTCCAACAAGGGCTCTGGTTGCAAAACAGATGATCCCAGAGGTCACCACTGGCTTTCCACCCATGGCTTGTGCAGTTCCTGATTGCTTTGGAAAGG